GGAGGCCCAGATGTGCTGCAGCTCTCAAGTGATGCCAACCAGTTTTCATCTCCCAAGTAGAAAAGGGAAAGAGATGGCTAATCCTAGGGCCTGGAGAGTGTGTAGATCACAGTTTTCTGAAAGCACCTCTCATTCATCTAGCACTTCCATGATGCTTGCCATACCTGCCCACCACCTCTTCTATTATTTATGCAACCTACTGTGAGCAAATAGGATGCTAGAAATACAATAAATGCAATCAAACTGCAACTTTAAATCCCTAGCACCACCAACACACCCCCACCTCTCCCAGCAACTTTACTTCTGCTCCTCTCTGCGTCTTTATTACATTTAGCCAGTGAGGAGCCTCCAGTGAGCGGGCCAGGGGGATGTGCTCCTTCCAGCTCCCTCAGCCAAGTGTAAAGCTAGCAAGGTCATCTGCTCCCTTTCTCAGCTCACCTCTTTGCAAGCTGAAGGGAGGCCGGGTAAGGGGACAGTGAGAAGGTTTCTGGTCTGTGTCTCTAGCCTGGCAGGCCTACAAAGTTGCCCATCCCATGGAGGTTCTCCTCCTGGGCCCCGTTGATACAGGAAATGAAATATGAAAATGTTACACTTCCCAACCAGTTAAGATGCCTGTTACGCTGAGTTTGTGCTCTCTAAAACTGAAGGATGAATTCTAGGAACAACAGAGGTTAAGAGTAGAAAGATATTTATTGACAGGGTAGCTTCTGGGAGGCAGGAGGTGTCCCCAGTGGGTAGCCGTGGTCCCCCACTTTACAGGGGAGTTTTATAGAGCAAAACCTACATGAGTGCAGTGTAGGTTCAGCTATGATTAACCAATAAGGTTACGGGTACAGTCACGTAGGTAACAGTGATCCAATGGGAAACAAGTCGTGTAACAAGTGTGCATGGAAAGAACAAAGACCTGGAAATGATGGGTCTGGGGGCCTTGGTCACCCACCAGGGTGGCTGAAGTCTCTCTGGACTTCATTAGGCCCGCTGTTGGTCTTTCTAGGAAGTATACAGGCCTGGTCATTTGGTCCTTATCTTGAGGCCTGGTCTCCAGCAGATGTGTCTCCGGCCACAGCTGTGACGTGTTTCACCTCTGTCCTGACTCTCTCGAGGACCCAGCCCTCTCTGACTGCCTGGAAAATTTCTCTAACTTAGCTGTCTGTAATGCTGTGACTGTAACACCTGTGATGCAGATCGTACATATTTGCTTCTCTCTGGCAAGTCCAGGCTTCCCCCTCAGCTGTGGCCTCGTGGTCCATCTCTCTTGGTTAGCATTATCGTGTTGCTCGGTTTCCACCAGGATCCTTTGGCCCAGGTGGAGTCCCGCTGCGGGACATCTTGTCCTTCTGTGTACCGGGAAGGCTAAAGGCAGTCAGGCCCTTCTCACAGAGCAGCGGCACACTGTCTCTTCCTCCTCCCACCCAGGCAGCTACACAGCCTCTCACCCAGCTTCCTCCTGCAGGCCTCAGGCCCTGGCCCACAGCTGCCCACTGCCTGACCACGCCCCCGTAGGACACGGGCATCACACAGCACACCCCAATAAACCAAACTCCCAGCAGGCACCAATCAAGCTGCTTCTGTATCTGTAAATACTTTCTGCCCATGCTAGGAGGAGCTTTTTATATCTCTCTTGGTTCTGGATGCTGCAGCACTTACGAATTGTTATTTGCTCTAATAAACTCTGCTAAATTAAAAAATACACACATACACAAACACACACTCACTTTCCATCCTCTTCCTTGCTTTTTCACACCTTCTGTACATATACTGTATCTACGTACTAAACATCCTATGGATTTTATTTATTGCCTTTCTCGGCACAAAATGTGAAGTCCAAGAGGGACTTTTGACTCCATGCTCCACAGTTGTGTTCTCAAAAGGACAGTGCCTGGCCCTTAGTAGGCCCTGGGTGAATAAATGAACCCCTGTGTTCAGGGGGAGGAAAGGGTACACACAGCCACACATGTGCGTGCTGTTTGATGGAGATATTAGGAAGGAGTATAGAGATATGAAACACACACTATCCCCATGCTGAGGCTTTTCCCTCATGCTTTAATTGGGATTGAAAAAATTGGAAATAAAATAGCTTTGAAACTATGTGACGCAATTGCATTTAAAGCAGTGCCTGGTAGTGCTTAAGTCATTTCTACCTGGCCAGTGGTTATCTCTGTGACATTTACCTAAAGAAGCCCTCTGAGGACATGAAAAGGCAAGCGCCTTGCTCTAAGTCACACCACTGTTGGCCACAGAGCTCCAGCTGCAGTAGACCTGAGTGGCCAGGAGGGGAGGGACGTCAGCCTACTTCCCAGCCTGCCTTCCCACAGGCAGCCCAAAAGTGTGCCCAGCTCCCAGCACTGGAGGCAAAGCAGGGTCAGAAGCAAGGGAAGGCTAAAGGCCCAGGATAGAGATGTGGGCTCCAACACTGAAGCAACGTCCCTATCCTGCCACCAGCATCACAGCTGCCCACCAGCACCCTAAGAGCTCTGACTCCGTTGCCAAAGGCTGTGTGGGAAGAGCAACGCCAGCAATGCTTCTTATCTGGAAAGAGAGGAAAGACTGGAGATTCGGCATCAGAGTTAGAAGGGAATTTAGGGTCAGACCCCGTGGTCTAGTAGTTCTCAAAGTGCAGTCCACAGACCAGATCAGCAGCGTCACTTAAAACTTACTAGGCAATAAAATGACACAATTAGGATAGGATTGGCAAGGTAGAAGCAAAATCTTTATATGTAGATGAAATGATCATCTACAGAGAAAATACTAAGAAATCTCTAGGAGCCCTTAGAACTTGTATTTGAATTTACTAGGATTAGAAAACACAAGGTATATATAAAAATTCAGGTCTGTGTATACTTGCTATAAATGAAGAATTGGATATTGAAATTAAAAGTTATGTAGGAGTACAAAGTACCTAGAAAAGTTAAAAAAGAAAAAACAGTGTTGGAAGACATTTAGTACCTAATTTTAAGACTTCTTCTAAAGCTACAGTAATCAAGGCAGTGTTGGTGTAAGGAAAGACATATAGATCATTGGAATAAAACAAAGAATCTAGAAATAGAACTACACATATATGGTCCACTGAGTTTTGAAAGATTATTTAACATTAGCATTTTATAGAATATAAACTCCATTCAAGAGCCGAGGAAGAGATAGTGTTTTCACCAAACGGCACTAGAACACCTGGTATCCGTATATAAAAAATTAACCTCAACCCTTTATTTCCATACATGAAAATAACTTGAAGGGATCTATGAACCTAAATATGAAAGTCTAAAAGTATAAAACTTTAAGCAGAAATTATAAGGGAAAATGTTTATGAATTCAGGGTAGGCAAGAACTACCTAGGATACAAAAGACATGATGTATAAAAGAGGGTACTTCTTAGAAGTTGTTAAATTTATTTCAAAAACGATTTTTGTAATATGCTTTCTATATCCTTTTAAATTCTGTAAAATCTGTGGTAATGTCTCCTAGATCTTGATATTGTAATTTAAAAAATCTATAATTGATATTGTGTAACAGGAAGAAAAGGTCTAAAGGAGCAGGGGAAGTGGGAGGGGTAGGGGAAACGAAAGAAGGGAAAAGAAAAAATATGAGAAAAGGAAAAAATGGAAACAAAGTCTTTGCAAATAGGGAAGGGTGGAGGGGGTGAAGGGAAGGCAGGGGAAGGGGAAAAAATAAGAACCAAGATACTGATGTAATGGTACAAGATCCCAATGATGAATGTAACTGTATTGTATACCTAAAATGTACCAATAAACTTAATGGGGGAAAAAAAAAACTTACTAGGAAAGTAAATGATTCAGTCTCACCCCAGAACTCAAAAATTTGAGGTGAGACCCAAACATGTTTTTTGGCAGTGCTGGGGATCAAACCCAGGGCCTCAGGCATGCTAGGCAGCACTCTACACCTCCAGCCTCATTTGTAGTTTAATAAGCCCTCCAGGTAAATCTGATGTACACTCAAGTTTGGGAACCACTGCTCTAGTCCAGCTCCTTGTTGTTCAGATCAGAGGATCAGAGAGGAGAGAGGACTAGCCTAAGGCCACCAGACAAGTTACCACTTCCCGGCTCCACCCCATGCCAAGAAGTCACTCCTGGAATGAATGCTCTTCTCCCTGGTTTCATTCTAGCAGGAAAGGATGTTGACTGAAAAGCAACAGAGACAGTTTGTTGAGAGGTCTTAGGCAAGTCATTTATTTCTGCACAGTGTAGAGGCAGGGAAGAGATCGTTTCAGTCCAGAACACACAGATCTTAGAGCCACTGTGCTCCTGCTGCCACCAGCGTTAAGGACACAGTCTAGCCTGGGACCAGAGAGCACAAGCTCAGATCCAGATGGCCCGGATCAAAGCCCCAGCCCTGCCCTCTGCTAACTGCATGACATACTCCCACTGCTCATCTGCTCCAAGTCTCCACCTCCTCCCCTGCCTGTGCCATTAGAGTATAGTGACGAAGGAGAGGTCTTAGCATGTGCCTTGCCTGCCTGCCAGTGTCATTCAGGGGGTGGTTTACCTTCTCTCAGTCACTGCATCCTCCCTTCTCCACATCTGAGTCTCCATGAGAAGCAGCCAAGGTGCAAATCATCACCTATACTTCAAGTATTTCCATCCTTGTAACTCTCAGTTCACACCGTATGTTTGAAAGAAACCACAGGTCATTTCTCTCCTCCAGAGCTCCTCCCAGTCATCAGCCCCGGGACAGGGAGCTCTGTCTCCCTTCCAGCCACTTGAGTAGATGACAGTCTGGTGATGAGTGTCCCACCCCCGGGAACCCTCCAAAGTGTCCTCTGGGTATGACTCAGCTCATCCTAGTATGTCCCCAAGATGTGATAACACTCTGTCAAGCTGTCTCTAGGTGGTGTGTGAAAGAGCAAGGGACAGAAACACAATGGAGCTGCCCCAGCTACCACTGCCACCTCCTCCTCCTCCTCCTCCTCCTCCAGACGCCCTCAGACGCCTGGAAGGCCAGCGCCATGGCCACACTCACCTGCCACAGCTCTCTTGCTCCCACAGGCGACCACGATGATCCCCTGGGTGCTCCTGGCCTGTGCCCTCCCCTGCGCCGCTGACCCGATGCTTGCTGCCTTCACTCTCAGAGACTTCCAGAAGGGCTCCCCTCAACTGGTCTGCAGCCTGCCTGGCCCCCAGGGCCCCCCAGGCCCCCCAGGAGCCCCAGGGCCCTCAGGAATGGTGGGAAGGATGGGCTTTCCTGGCAAAGACGGCCAGGATGGCCAGGACGGGGACCGGGGTGAGAGCGGCGAGGAAGGTAAGAGGCCCACACCTACCCTCCTGTTCCCACCTGTGGTTGACAGCAGCCAGCCCACAGGGGGCTCCTGAAGCTACTAAAGCCCTATTAATCCCGGTCTTCATTAACCAAATTGCTGACTCTTTATAAACAGGACAATATATTCCCAAAGGAAAAGAGGATATCAAGTCTCATATTCCTGCCTCTGCTATACCTCTGAATTCTAAGTGACTGAGCAAATCTCCTGAAATATTATTCAGAACTCCTTTGGCTGCAAGTGACAGAAACCCAATTTATAGCCTCACATGGAATTTACTGGAGCTGAGCCTCAGGATTGGCTAAGGGAAGGAGCTTACTATATATCACTGCCAGGGTTTGCTTCTCTGTGTGTTTGCTTTCTCCTCTCAGAGGCTGGGGGTTCTTAAGTGGCAAGGTGGGTTCCAGACCATATCTTCTCAGCTTTATCCACACAGCACATCCTGAATGCCTAACCCTCCTGGGCCACACCTGGATCCTGGATAAGTGCACTTTGATCACAGAGATGAAATGCCGCCATTTGCAGGCCTGGGTCATGTGCCACCCCTAGGTTTTTGTGAATGGGTGTTGAAGGTGATTGCTCATATGACTGACAGCCTCACTGGGACCCCCTAAAGTAGAAAAGTAGCTCCCGAAGAAAGGGTGCCAAGCAGATAGTGGGCAGATTGGATACCGAGGCCCTTTCAGCTTTATATTCCTCATATTTCTGAATGTTTACCCAGAATTTTAGTGTTAACTTTCCCAAATGTGCATTTTAATCAATAGAGAAATCAAATATTAAATATGGTGCTGGGGATTGAGCCTAGGATCTTATGAATACATGCTAAGCATGTGCTCTACCATTGAGCTACACCCCCAGCCCAATGGTACCTCTTACTTGCATGGTATTATAACACTGCCAAAGCACTTTTGAGTAAGTTACTCATCTGATTGTTAATACCATCCTGAAAGGAGATACTCTTATCAGCCCATGTCACAAATGAGGAAACTGAGTGTCAAGGTGATTGACAACAGCCTGTCAGAGCTGCAAGAATTTGAACTTTGGGGGCCAGGGATTTAGCTCAGTGGCACCACACATACTTGGCAAGCGGAAGGTCCGGAGTTCAATCTCTGGTACCAAAAAAAAAAAAAAGAACTTGAACTTTGGGAACAAACTTGGATACTGATTTTGGCGAATGCCTTATCTTCCCGCCAAGCCTCAGTTCCCCCCTCTCTGGCCAGGGATAGTAACGGCATCCGCCTCCCTGGGCTGAGGTGAAGGTGAAGCAGAATACCATGGGAAACACTAGTCTCTGAGTGGGCACAGTACATATTAGTCACTCCTTAGTTGAATTCCTGAGCTCCAGATCCAGGCTTCTTCCTGCCACACCAAACTAGCACTCCCAAGTACCTCATTCCCAGATGAATCCCTGAGAGGAAAGACAGTGGCTTGGACTAAAGGTCTTGCCAGGTGCTAGGTGTGGCAGCACTCCATTCCCGACCAGCAGGGTGGGTCCAGGTCCAGGCTTGTGCTCCGACCCGGTCAGCTAAACATCCCTGAGAGTCACTTGCCTGTGGCTCCTACAGGTCTGCTGTGGCCACTTTCCCGGTGATCGGGAGGGAGGAGGGTGTAGGCTTGGGCTGCTTTTGGCCATCCGTCCTGCCACGCCATGAGTCCCTCCTGGGGAAGGCAGGCTGGGAGACAGAGATGGACAGTCCTGACCTGAGGAACCCAGGCGAAGTTGGGATCTTGTCTGACCTCTCTCCCACTGTGTGGTGACACAGCAAATCCATCTGCAGAAGGTCTTGAAAAGTAAATTCAGTGTTTCCTAAAGAGTTTTAAAAAGGAATCAAGAAAGAAGCAGGCCAGGGATTTAGGGTGGTTCTGCCGCCTGCCTTGAAAGTGCAAGGTCCCTAGTTGATCCCAGGTACCAAAAAAAAAAAGACCTGTCTCAAAAAAAAAAAAAAAGCTATGCATGGTGGTGCTTACTTATAATCCCTGCACTTGGGAGGCTGAGGTAAGAGGATTCCAGAAACTTCAAGACCAGCCTGGGCTACCTAGTGAGTTCAAGACCAGCCTGAACCACATACTGAGACCCTGTCTAAATAATTAAATAAATAAATCTGTTTTTTAAAAAAATGGAAGCCCAACACGAAAATCGAAAATCGTGGTAGACCTTCTTTGTCTATGTGTCTTCTGGGAAAACACCCAAGCGATGAGATTGTCTCTACTCCTCCTCTGCTCTACTCCTCTTCTCCCGTCTTGCTTTTTTCATTTTATCAAGGAACAGCTTTGTAACTTTCTTCTTTTTTTATTCTTTTTCTGTTTTCTCCTCTTTGGTGCTGGAGCTGGAACCCAAGGCCTCACTTATGCCCTGAACATCTTCTACTCTTGAGCTACAATTCTAGGCCCCCTTCTTTTTTTATTTATTTATTTTTATGTTTTGGTTTTTGAGACAGGATCTTGCTCTGTAGTCCAGGCTGGCCTCAAACTTGCAATCTTCCTGCCTCCTGAATACAAGATTACAGGCATCCACCACCACACCTGGCTTAATACAAAAACAGTCTCCTTATATTACTTTCAAACAAAGCAGAAGTCCTGCTTAGCCACTCTCTCCCGTCTTCCTCCTCACACTTTAGATGTAAGCACTGTTAATTGATTAGCTGTATATCCTTCCTGGCTTTTCTCATAGGTACTTAATACCACCTATATCATTTCTAGGGATCTAACAATACTGAGCATCACTGGGCACTTGATCTAAGCAATCTGTTCCTGAAAATTGGATTTTCACTGAGAAAATGTTACTTGGAAATCTATTTCCCAATTATTTAAAATAGAAAAAAAGGGCCAGGGATTTAGCTCAGTGGTTCTGGCACCTGCCTCGAAAGCACAAGGTCCCAGAGTTCGATCCACGGTACTAAATAAATAAATAAAATTAAATAGAAAAAAATGTAAATGTATTACATGTTAACTCTAAACTCTAAAACACGGTGAGATGTTTACCTGTGTACATATAACAAAGCACCTCATCGAGATATAAATCGCCTGAAACATTTCCTCCTTGATCACTGTCTCAGTCCTGTTCTTATTGCCGGACATAATACCTACAGGAGAGGTTTACCGTGGCTCACGGCCACAGTCCATGGCTGCCCTAAGGCAGACAGAACTCGTAGAAAGGCAGAGCAGACGGGAGGAGCCTGGCAGGTCACACCCCAGTGACCCTTCACTCCAGCAGGCCCCACCTCCCAGAAGCACTGGACAAACCAGCGGATGAACCCACTGGATGAGTATCGCACCCCAAGATCCACTCACCTTCCAAAAGCCCTGCCTCTGAGCACATGAGGCTCTGGGGACTGTCTAGATCTAAACCAGAACAACCACGCGATTCGTGTGGCTATCACGGACAGTTGCCTGGTGTCCAGTGACGCTAGGGTGCCCAGCAGCAGCAGCAACCCTCAGAAGCAGGCCTGGACGGACCTGCTGCTTGCTCAGACCTCTACACTCAATTCCGCCATTCTGCCAGTGGGACTGTGTTTAGATTTAACTCAGATCTTTATTCATTTTTTAAAAATGTGTTGTATGGAGCAATCATAAATCCAAATGTTTCCAATATAATCATTGGCCCAAAACGCTGCGCTGAGAGAAACATATATTTTGTAAAATATTAATATTAAAAACCAAGAGGGACCTGGCGAAAGTCACTGCTGGGGGAAATGGCCTGCAGGGCATGCAGCTCATATTTAGCTGCAATTCCCCCAAGCCAGGCCTTGTCCTGTGCATCTGAATGGGTATGGAACATTTAGCACTGTGGCTTTCCTTTAAAATTAAAGATTCTGCCACTGGGCTTTTCCTCTTAGCAAATTCTAGGGACAGTTTCATATAGGACACATAAATACAACTCAGTTTTTAAATGTCTATATAGAATTCTACAGTATGGATGGGCCATAATTTGCTAAACATTTCCTTGTGGAAGGGCATTTGTTTGTTTCTATTTTTTTCTGCTCTTATCAGCAATGCTACAATAAAACCTTTGTGTGTGTGTGGACAGAGCCCCTGTGCACCAGGCAGGGATTTGACTAAAGTCAGTGTTTTGAGGCCAAGAGGCTTCTTTCAATTATCTTCTCAACCCGTGGCCCTAACAGTCCACTGAACGATTGATCTAGCAGACAAACCAGGCTCTTCTTTAGGAGTATGGAAAGGAAAGAATGTGAATTGTTGTACTGCTCTTTTTACCCTGCTCTACAGTGGTTCTGGAAGGCATTACCATAAGACCAGGAAAGTACCCCAGGTTATACCATCAGGATTTGCCCCATTTCTATTTCTATTTCCATTTTCTCTCTCTCCAAGGCCTTGCTATGTAGCCCAGCTGGATGCAAATTTGCACTCCTTCCTGCTCAGGCTCCTGAGTGCTGGGATTGTAGACATACCTCCACCACTTCCAGCTAAGACATGCTCCATTTTTCTGTCACTCCAAAGCCCTCTTGTTCTTTCCATGTCCCATGGGCTCCTACTACAAGGGGGAAAAGCCAAGGCCCACAGCTTCTGCCTGGGCGCATGAGGGAGCCTCCATAACTCCTGCTGCTCTGTCTTCCAGGTCCACCTGGCCGGACAGGTAACCGGGGAAAGCAAGGACCAAAGGGCAAAGCTGGGGCCATTGGGCTGGCTGGCCCTCGTGGTCCCAAGGGGGTCATTGGGATCCCTGGGAAGCATGGCACGCCAGGCAAGAAGGGGCCCAAGGGCAAGAAGGGGGATCCAGGCCTGCCGGGCCCCTGCAGCTGTGGCAGTGCCCGGGCCAAGTCAGCTTTCTCAGTGGCGGTGACCAAAAGCTACCCGAGGGAGAGAATGCCCATCAAGTTTGACAAGATCCTGATGAACGAGGGCGGCCACTACAACTCATCTAGCGGCAAGTTCATCTGTGGCGTGCCCGGGGTCTACTACTTCACCTACGACATCACACTGGCCAACAAGCACCTGGCCATCGGCCTCGTGCACAACGGCCAGTACCGCATCCGGACCTTTGACGCCAACACCGGCAACCACGATGTGGCCTCAGGCTCCACCATCCTGGCCCTCAAGCAGGGTGACGAGGTCTGGCTGCAGATCTTCTACTCGGAGCAGAATGGGCTCTTCTATGACCCCTACTGGACCGACAGCCTCTTCACAGGCTTCCTCATCTATGCCGACCAGGACAACCCCAACGAGCTATAGACTGGCCCCGGGGGCCCTCCGAGCAGGGACCAGGCTTCTGGACTTGTGCTTACAGAGCAAGACCCCCAAACTGTGGCTGGGGCAGAGAGTCTCAGAGGCTTCCATCCTCAGGCTGACCTCCTTTGCTGCTTTAAATTTTTTTCCATCATTAAATCCAAGTGTTTTTATTCATCTGTTTATCTGTCCACTCAGTGTCTGCCGAATAGCAAGCACTGGCTACACCTATCTGCAAGTGACAGCGGTGGGCAAGATGGGAGACAGTTTACAAATAAGCAGCCAGCACAGTGCCAGGGTAGAATGGACGTGCCATGGTTGAGAGTAGTAGAAATAACAAGAGACAGGGAAGAGACTGACATTTTTCTAAGGGTTCATCTTTTTAAGTTTATCTATATAGAGTCCACAATTTTAAGTAGAAAGCTTAATGAATGTGTATTTAAGTGCACACCTTGTAACCACCCCATAGATCAAGCATCAGCCTCTGCCTTCCTCTCCAAACGTGCTCAGGCTCCTCCAAGTCCTTACATGTGCTCCTGCACTTACACTCAGGTTACATCCTGAAAAACCCACTGTAAGCTGAACAGGCCACAAGCCAAACACACACAGCCTACAGAGAGTCCATCATACCTTAGCAACACAACACACCCTAGAGTATAAATTGTTCACCCTCTGCCACTGTACAGCTTAGATTGAAAAGGTTGAAATTCAAAAGACAGTTTCAGGCCCGGGATTTAGCTCAGTGGTTTCACAGCCTGCTGCGCAAGGACCCAAGTTCAATCCCCGGTACCAAAAAAAAAAAAAAAAAAAACAGTTGCTACTGAATGCATACTGCTTTTTGTCAGTACCGGGAATCAAACTCGGGACCTTGGACTTGGCAGACAGGTATGGCACCACTGAGTTAA